TGCAGGAGTGGTCGGTGGCAGGGAGAAGACCTAGCTACCTGCCATGGAGAAAGGCAGAGAGTAGAGGGAAAAAATCATGGACTATGAAGTCAGTAAAAGCAGGGTTCAAATCCCAGGCTCACCACTGTGGTGGTGGGACTGTTACAGGGTGGGAGAGTGGAGAGGTGTTAGGTCAAGATCTTTAAGATTAGAGACTCACCCTGAGGTGTAAAATGAAAAACCACAAACACTTCGAAAGTAGGAAAAGGAAAGTTTTAATAGGAAAGTGAGGATTTTTATTTATTTATTTTCCATAGGGAATGTGGTGCTCGCCAGAGAGACAGAGAGAGAGACAGTGAGAGGGAAAATGAGGAATCACCCCCTGGGGGGAATGGCCATGCCACAATCCCTTCTTCTCCATTCTCCTCCTGGGATTTTGGGCATGGACGCACAAGCACCCGGTGTGATTTTTCAAGCCACCATGTCCAGGACTCAAACCATGGTCACTGTGTGGGAGTCCAGCTCTGTAGTCACCATACCACCCACTGTCCCCAAAGGTGAGGATTTTTAATAGAAAAGAAATACACCAATACATCCCTTTGGGACCAGCAGGTGGCATAGTGGTTAAAGCACTGGCCTCTCACCTGGTAGACCACGGTTTGCTACCCAGACTTGACGACTTGAAACTCACACTGGGCATTTGTGCATGTGTACCCAAAATCCCAAGAGGAAAATGGTCAAGGGATTGCAGTGTGGCCATCCCCTCCCCCAGGGGGGAGTGATTCTCTCTTTTTGTTTCTCTGTCTTGCCAGCAAGCTCATGCACCCTAAAAGCATAGATCTCTCTCTCAGTAAAACAAAAAAGAGAAACAGACCTCCGCACCTATTCACTTTGCATGCTGTCTGTGCCAGGCTCTCAGTGAGCGGAATGTGCTCCCTGCTAGTGAGGGACAAACCAGATAAGTAAATCCATAGATCAGATTGGACACTGATGGAGAAAATAAAATAGGAGAGAGTGACTGTGGGGGCGGGGTGGCCTCTCTAAGGAAGCGACATCTGAGCCGAGACCTGAGTCACAGTGAAGGGAGGAAGAGCACGTCCCGGAGCCTGAAGTCGGGACAAGCTCGCAGTTGGGTGCAGTCAGGCGGGCAAGGAGGTTGTGAAGATTTGGTTCCCACTCAGGGTCTGTTGTGAGGGTACGGGGAGAGGCACACGGCATCCAGCACAGAGCCTGTCACCTTCAGTGGCTTCCCTCCTTCTTCCTCCTGGACATCCCTCTCCATTAGTTGTGGGCCGTCCCAGTTGGGTTTCCTTTTCTTTTCTTTATTTTTTTTTTTGTTTTTCTTGAGAGATTTTTGCTATAGTGTGTGTGTGTTCTCCAGAGAGATAGAGACAGAAAGTTAGAGATCACTCCCCAGGGAAGATGGCCATGTGGCAATCTCTTCTCCATTCTCCTCTTGGGATTTTAGGCACACATGTGCACGCACCTGGTGTGAGTTTTAAGCCACTGGGTCCGGGGCTCGAACCATGGTTGACTATGTGGGAGTCCAGCAACGTAACCATTATGCCATCTGCTGGTCCCACCAGTTGTGTTTTCAATAAATATCTAATGACTGGGACCAGCAGATGGCATCGTGTAATGGTTGCGCCACTGGACTCCCACATGGCCGCCTGTGAGAATTTAATGTGGGGTCTGTGAGGAAAGAAAACCGTTCCGGGAATCAAACATGGTTGCTAGAGTTTCCTGAGTTTGCCGAAGTGATTTGTCTTTGGACCCTGAGGCAAATGACTCTATTCCCAATTTTTGATATCTGAACGGGAAATTATGGGCATCTTTCCTCAATGGCTAGAATTGTTTGAGGTTTAAAAGCAAACAGAAAAAGGAAGTCTTCAGAAAAAAATGGTACCATTGCAGAAAACCATACTCTTCGAACCCCAAACAAACCTGTACCGGGGCAATCGTAACACTTCCAGGGCTCCTGAGCGTCTTAGCTGCCCATTCTAACAGAGAGAATAGTAGCTGTCTGTCAGCCTCCATACTTTATAGATAAAGCAACGTATTAGAGAGGCAACCTGGCAGATGGAGTTTTCAAAACAAAGCCAACATACTGGGTTGTCGGAAAAGTCATGATGCATTAGAAAAACATAGAAAAATACATCATGACTTTTCCGACAGCCCCATATATTTGTGCAGAGCCTATCCAAGCTTTCGGCAAATAAGTACTTCCCCTGAAGCAGCTTACAGCTAACAGAGAGAAGCCAGCAGCTGGCTTCTCACGGAGATAATACCCACAGAGATAAACGAGCTAAGTCAGGTGTTGAGAAATGCTATGAGGGGCACCAGCAGATGGTGTAATGGTTACGTTGCTGGATTCCCACACAGTCAACTGCTATTCGAGTCCCGGACTTGGCAGCTTAAAAAAACGCTGGGTGTGTGTGCATGCATGCCCAAAATTCAGAGAGGAGGGAACCAGCAGTTAGCGTAATGGCTATGTCGCTGGACTCCCATGTAGTCGACTGCGGTTCGTGTCCCGGACCCGGTGGCTTAAAAACTCATGCCGGGCGCATGTGCGTGCGTGCCCAAGATCCCGAGAGGAGAATGGAGGAGAAGGGATTGCAGCGTGACCATCCCCCCTGGGGGGTGATTTCTCGTTTTCTGTCTCTATGTCTCTGTCTGTCTGGCGAGCGCACGCATCCTACAGTGAAAATCTCTCAAAAAAAAAAAAAAATTCAGAGAGGAGAATGTGGGAGAAGGGAGTGGCATGGCCATCCCCCGTGGGGGGTGATTTCTCCCTTTCTGTCTCTCCAGGGAGCGCATGTGCCAAATAGCAAAATCTCTGAAAAACAAAACAAAACAAAACAAAAACAAAATCAAAACAAACCAAGGAAGTACTGTAGAAGACAATAATGAGTCAGAAAGGCCAACTTACCTTGGCTGGTCAGGGAAGACCTTTTTTTTTTTTTTTTTTTTTTTTGGAGAGATTTTCACTATAGGGCGTGTGTGCTCGCCAGACAGACACAAAGAGACTTGAACAGAAAACGAGAAACTGCTGGTTCCCTTTAAAGACCTGACGTTTGAGTCTAAGACTTGAATGATAACAACAGCCAAGACAAGATTAAGGAAAGAGGTTTTTAAGCAAAGAAATAGCAATTGCAAAGGTCTCCAGGCAGACGGAGCTGGGCCAGAGGAGGCTTGTGGAGCTAGGATATGACGGGAGGAAAGAGGCCATTCCACGGCACAGTGGCTAGGTGCTGTGCACAGAGAGTAGGATCCCACATAGATCACCGGGAGTTCGAATCCTGGCCCTGGCAACTTGAAAAGCACACGGGGTCCGTGTGTGTGTGCATGCTCCAAATCCTAGTGTGATGGAGATACAGAGGAAAAAGAATTGTGGTGTGCCATGCTCCATTCGGGAGTGCGCTCTCACTTTGGTGAGCATGTGTGGCCTCTGGCAACTAAAAAAAAAAAAGATGGGGAGGAAAGGAACATGAAGTCAGGAGAAGGGGTAGCCGCCAGATCACGCAGGGCCTGGAGGCCACGGGGAAGAGCCTAAGTACTAGTCTTCACAAAAGGGAAGCCACAGGAAGGCCAGAAAGTACTTCCTTCATAGCATGGCTACGAGTAAGTGGTGTCAACGGAAAAAATAACCAACTGTAAAATTAATAATTAATCATTAATGCAGTTTATTTCTAAGCCAAATATGAGTGACCTAGGCCCAGAGAAGAGGCATACATGCCTTTCTCTGGGGTGATCATGTACAGAGGTTCCTTTTATTTGTTTTTGAGATTGACAGACAACATTTAGTGAAAAGATTTTCCATTGGTCTGGCCCAAAAAGGCAGGACATGTAGAAGTGGGGGCTTGTAGGTTATAGGTGGGTTCCACAATTCTTAGGTTGGTGATTGGAGGGGAAGATCTGTGTCTTCGGAAGAGATTAGTTAAAGAAAGGTTTAATCTACATCTCAAGGAAAGGGAAGCTCTGTGTCTTGGGAAGAGGTAAGCAAAAGAATATACTGTAATGGGTTGGAATATGCATCTCAAAGATACTATGCCAGGGACAGAAGGTAGGAAGAATTCTTTTTTTTTTTTTTTGGAGAGGATTTTTTGCTATAGGGCGCGTGC